CCAGGCACCTGCAGCCTTTCTCGTCTCCGGTTTTCTCCATTCTGCCTTAACATGGGGCGCAGATGGGAGCGGAGAGAGTCCGCAACATGCATCTATAAACTCACACACTCGCAAGGCTCCATCTCTGCACTTAATATATGGTTGGGCACACTGCGGACCTCGTCAGAATCGACAGTCCACCTGTCGTGTCGCCTTTTGAAAAAGCCACAACAACCTTAGACAGGAATCTTTTATCTCAGAGAGCATGGAATTAGTGAGTGGACCACGGTGGTTGCATTCTGCCCAAAACGACTATATCAAATCTTTGATGAACGGTTAGTCCAGCAGTCCTTCCTATCCTGTCCACTTTCCGGATCTGTTGGCAGGAGTGCCTGGGAGACAAGTTAGACCTTCCCCGAACACAAACGCACACAGTCCGTTAACAGGGACTTCCTTAATTTATGTGAAGTATGTGACCAATGAAAGTCTGCCCTGTTAGTGATAACTCTGAAGTCCTGATGGGGTGAAGCATTTAGCCACCGCGCAGGCGCCTAGAAGAAAATATGCCCAAACTGGCCTGCTTCGCGGGATGACGGCGAGAAGCGGTGAGGTGTGCAATGTTGGGCCGCGCGAAAGTCCACGGAAAAGATCTTTTTTAAGAATATAAACAACTATGAAGTCTCTTGTTACTATACCAGATCTGAAAATGTGTGAAGGCATCCTGTCTTTTTGAAATGTGAGGTAACTTCTATGGCACAATATGCTGAATCTGAGAGGGCAGCGTTCGCGCTTTGTAAGCCAGTTCGCACCAAGGGATCTGCCGCCACTGGCATAGTTAGCGTATTGATTTTATCGCTATTCATAAAAGCATCCGAGCAGGAAATAAAAACGCACGAATTTTTGACAGATTAACCGTGCATTGGTACAAGGGATGAGTAATAAGCGGACTTGTAAAGTACTCTATGCATATTATGATCATTAGACCAGAGCGTGACGGACATAGGACGTTGAATGGCACCTTAATTAGGTCCTAGGGACAGTCACCTTGCACTGCATCTACCGCACTGGCGTCTCTTTCAGCAGAAAGAGTCAAGAAAACCGAATGCGAGATCTGGCACATTGTTCGACAAAGCCGAAGAAAACTTCTACGCGTTCCACGCACACTCCCAGTCCGCGCACGATTGACTAGGTTGTCATAGAAACAAGAAAGTGATAGCTCAAATCCTATATTTTACAGGAACATGAACAGCAGTACACTCAGGGCCTATGGCCAGAAGCGCAGGCGAGTTGAGTCACGTACGCAGACCGGTCGCGCACGCCGTGGACGCGCTCGAGCACACGTGCCGCTCGCTCACACGTGCAGTAAAGATATTCTATAA